AAAGTTTTGTTCCATTCCGAGAACTTTTATTTCTACACAAAAACAACACCATAGTAGTTCTGCTGAAAACAACGTTAGTCCGGAGTTAGTTTCATTCAAATCATGCAAATTAGAGTCCAAAACAAGAGGAAAGGCGTGAGAAAAAGTGGATACATTGGAGATGTACCAGCGCTCTCGGACGCATCGTCCACTGCCACTAGGCGCGAGGTTGAAGACGGGGTTGCCTGTAGGTGGGATGGGCTACATAGGGCTGGGCCGCTAGGGTAGTTTTGATCTCTCTCTCTATCTCTCCCTCTCTCTCTATTTCTATCCTTTCCTTTCATATTTAAATATATTTTAGATCAATTTTTTAAAACTGCCTATAAAATCAATTGTGAATATAATGGATTTTTACAAAAACACATACATCGTTATGCCGATGGGATTAACTGAGACGTCGGCCCATGAACGTCGCCCGAGAGCCCCAACTCACCACAACACCATACTGAATGATGTGGTTTAGTCCCACATCGCCGCGCGAGAGGCTCTCCGACCTTCTTAAATAGCAGAGAGGACCATATGCAACAAACTAATAGTGTAATAAGAACATCAATGCTCGCTTTATGAAGGAGATGATGATTTGATATTTGATCATCTCTTCATCTCTTTTACAAAGTAAGCACAGATGATCTTACTATAATAAAAATACTTTTTTTACAAGTGGCGTCATTGTCACAATTTATCTTATCAAACTAGGGCACAACACTATTATTTTTCAATTTTAGAAAATCAAAGAAAAGTTAAAATTTTGCACAACTATGGTTTTACCATTTGGCACAATGTGCGGTGATTCCTTTTTGAAGGCGTAGTCTAGGAGTTGTGTATTTTTCGTTTTACTGTCATCTTGTAACATAGGGTTAGTGCTTATCTGGTGGAGTTACTGTCGTGAGGCATGCGACCTCGGATTTTTTCGCTTTATTTCCAAGTCGATGTTGTTCGACTGTTGGATTTTGCATTCTTAATAATATATGGTTGTATGCATCATCCTGATGTAGAGGCTGGAGTTATCCTCCTTTTTTTAAACCTCACCTAGTGGTCCATGTCTTCCGCCACATCATCCCTAGCATTTGGGCCTCATTTGTTAGTAACACTATCAAAGTGTCATTAGACGAGGTTGACATTGTAATGAGCATGGTCACATCTGTCAAATTTTCAGTTTTATTCAATGGGAAGACTTGAAGAATTTAAGCCGTCTCGTGGGATCTGGCAAGGGGACCCGACCATACTTGTTTTTGTTAGCAGCAGAGGGCCTTTCGTGCCCCCTGAAATCCATAAGTGAGTCAACCAACTTGAGTGGGATACTTTTAGCACCAACGGCGCCGCTAGTAAACCAACTCTTATTAGCCGATGACAGCCTGTTGTTCTTCAAAGCAGATGGTATGGGTGCTACCGAGGTGAACCCGTTGTTGGATATTTATTGCCAGGCTATGGGTCAGAGGATCAATCATGCCAAATCATCTATCTTTTTTAGCAAAGGAGTACTTGACAATGTTCGCAATGATATCAAAGGTATTTTGAACGTTCCCAATGAAACATCAAATGAGAAATATCTGGGCATGTCTTCTGATATAGGGAGCTTGAAAAATGGTGCATTCAAGCATCTCAAGGACCGTATGTGGAGCAAAGTTTAAGACTGGATTGAGAATACTATGTCCTGGGCAGGCAAAGGAGGTACTTGTGAAAGCAATGGCCCAGGCAGTTCCAGTGTACACTGTGTCATCTTTCAATCTTCCCAAAGGATTGTGTGAACATCTCAACATGTTGATCAGGAAGTTTTGATGGGGAAGCAAGGATGGACATCGCAAACCTCATTGGGTCTCTTGGAAGGCTATGACACAACCTAAAGGTATGGGGGGTTTAGGCTTCAAAGATTTTGAACTTTTAAATCTAGCCATGCTTGCCAGACATACATGGAGGCTTTTGCATAACCCTGAGTCTCTAAGTGCCCTTATTCTAAAAAGTATCTACTACTCGGAGTCTTCGATGTTGCATGCAAATCTTGATAGCCACCCAAGTCAGATTCGGTGATCTATTTTGGACGGTAGAGATACTCTAAAACAATGGTTGATAAAGAGGATAGTCAATGGAGAGGACACACACATTTGGAATGATAATTGCCTTCCCCGAGATGAGATGATGCGACCGTATGGGTGTTTGATTCAAGACCCACCCACACATATTTCTGAATTAATTGATGCCACCTCATCTACGTGGGATAGACAACGGCTGCAGGAGGGTTCTTTTTCATTTGATATTTCTGTCATCATGGGCATTGCAATATGCACAATGAACAAAGAAGGGGCATGGAAATCCTTATGGAAAATCCAGGTACCAGGAAAAATCATATTGTTTTTATGGCGTCTTTCAAAACAATCCCTCTTGACAGAAGATGCGAGAGCTCATAGACACATGTCATCGTTGAGCTCATGTGGTCTCTGTGGTTCACCATACTCTTAGCGACACTCGCTAGTTGAATGCACGACATCGAGGTGTTCATGGGCCCTGGTCAATGAGGAACTAGGTCAACGTTTGGTTGCTGCGATGGAACCTAATGAAATACAATGGCTCTTCTCTCTTCTTGAGGCATTATGACATGAGAAGTTTGTGTGAAGATGGCGGTCACATTATGGGCCATATGGTCGTCTCGACGCAAGGCTATCCATGAAGGAATCTTCCAAACACTGGCAACATTGCATTTGTTTGTACACTGGTTCATTTCGGAGCTCTAAATTATTAGGGAGACAAGGACTACGGGTACAACAACAGGTATTGCACCTGCGAGTACAAGAGTTCAACGTCCACGGGCACCCCCACAGGGACATGCTAAAATCCATGTCGATGACCAGGCAGAGGGGGCTCAGCATCGGCTGTCTGCAGAGATAACGCTGGAAACTACCCTAGCAGTTCCTCTCTGGTCATTGGAGGAGTTTGCGACCCTTTGACGTTGGAGGCAATAGCTTGACGAGAAGCCCTATCATTAGCAAAAGATCTCCACTTGCAAAACATTGTTATAGCTTCTGACTCAAAGCAAGTGGTGACATATATTAAGCAAGGCAGCCATGGAAGGTTGGAGCAATCATCGCCGATATCAAAACTAGAGTAACTACTTTTAGTTCTAATTTTATTTTTGAAGGTCGTGCGGCCAATGTCGACGCACATAATTTAGCTAGATTTTCTCTTTCGCTAGCCGCGGGTCATCATGTTTGGTTTGGGCAACCACACGACCAAAATTCCGTCCTACTAGTTGCGGTTTTTGATTAATATAAAGTTGGCTTTACCCGTAAAAAAATTAGACGACTATCAGTGCAATTTGCAATGTCGCATACCAAAACCGGTACTGTCTTGCAAAAAATATAGGGAAACGTTTCAAGCCGGCGGACCGGTCGAAGCTTGCGCCGGTCGTCTCCCACGCGCGAACGAGCGAGCAGTGGCCCCACGCAAAAAAAACTATCCCGTGCCTTATCCCTTTCACACCGCTGCTACAGTCCACCCATCCATCCCCTACCTTATTGCTTTCTCTCTCTTGTCGCTCCCCCCCCCACGGCTGCCTACCTGCTCAGCTCCTTCATGTGCTCTCTCTTTTTGTGCGCTGGTCACCATATGTCAGCGTTGATCTCGTCTTCCCCAAGCGCGGTGAGCACCAGATTCCTCTCTCTCTCTCTCTCTCTCTCTCTCTCTCTCTCTCTCTCTCTCTCCACAACATCACCTACCTCTAGCGGCCATGTCTTCCCCAAATCGGCTACTACCCCAGAGCTGCAACCGGCGATTCAGGATGTTCGAACCGTCCTACGAGCTCACATACAGGGCAGCCATGGCTTACAAGATCGAGGTGGACGACGAGTTGGGGGCACCAAGGGGAACACCCCCTGATGTTGCAACGGGCGGTCTGGAAAGCTACAACCGAAGTGAAAAAAAGCTTCAATCAACGGTGACAAATGCTGCAACCAACCACTTCACAACAAAAAAGTTACATCCGGTGTCGCACGAAGCTTCAACTAGCGTTGAAAAAAGCTTAGAACAGCAAATGCTGATGCTAGGGCTGGCTACGGCCAACAGGGGCCATGGGAGTTGTGCTCTTCGACAGCGAGGTTGCAAGCGTGGACGTCGAAGCTGCAACCGGCATGGAAGAAAGCTTCAACCCCATGAAAAAAAGCTTCAATGGATGTGGAAAAAAGCTTCAATCACAGAAAAGCTCCAACTGGTGTGTGGAAAAGCTTCAACCGGCAAATGAGGGAGCTCCAAACCATAGAAAAAGCTTCAATCGATATGAAAAAAAGCTTCAAACAGTGGAAAAAGTTTCAACCGAAGCAAAAAAAGCTTCGACCTGAGTTTAAAAAAGCTTCAACCGAGTGGACAAGTCTGCACGCACGAGCGTCGACGGCGACGAGCGGCGAACGACAAGGGGAGAGGAAGTGGGATGCTGCGACGAGCAGCGACGACAGGGAGAGGACGCGGGTGCTCGCGGGGCAGGAGGACGGAGGCGTGCGTGGCGGAGGCTCGTGGGGACGGAGGTTGAAGATGAAGTCAAAGAAGGATAAGAAGCCAGATCTGACGGCTATTAGAGCCCAGATTGAACGGCTGCGGCCGGACCGGCCAAAAATTCAGCCGGCGCGCCGGAGCAGAGTGCTGGCCAAAAATGTATGAAAAGTCAAGTTGTTAGCTTCTGTTTTTTTTACTTTTTTCTTTTTTTTTTGAACATGAGAAAACGTTGTTAGTATGCAACATTTGCACTCGAACGGATCTCAAGGAAAGCGAAGAGCAGGGCCCACCATCCGATCCCGTGAACACCCGAGCCTCAACACCGGAGAGGAACTGCTCATAAGTCATAACCGCTCGCGCCCTTGGCTTCGCCCCCACCATCTGCCTGCCCCCGCCTTCTTTCAAAGTTCGAACAACCGCCTTCCCTCCTCCTCCTCCCCTCGCCTTCCCTCATCTTCGTCCACGCCAAGAACTCGATCCCCATGGAGCAATACGAGCGCGCGGCTGTTGATCCGCTCGAGGGGCAGACGGAGCAGGGCGGGGAGGATCCCGCTCCGTCGGCGGCTCTCGCCGGCGCCAAGGAGGGCGAACAGGAGCGCGTCCCCGAGACGCACAATCCCGTCGGCGCCGCCGCGTCGGAGGGCGCCAAGAAGCAGGATCTTGAGGTGATTGATCGATGGTGGTTCGGAGCGGCGGGCGACCGAAAGAGCGGAATGCTCTGTTTCTTGACGTTCTTGTTGGTTCTTTCTTTGGCGCAGGAACCTTCGCCGGAGTCCGATGAGGCCGCGGCCGCGTCTGCCAACATCAAGGGCGAAGACCGCGAGGCGTTCGAGGACCCTATGGAGACTCACTTCGGTAAGATTTCCAAACACCGGCATGTGTTTACCGATTGCCTGAACTAAAGGCTGCGGCGCGTCCGTTCTTGAATCTTGATTCATCTTGTGGCGAATTCGTCAGAGTTCCGATCAGCGGCTGCCGACGCGACGCCGCCGTACAACTCCCTCCGCGCACGGTCAAGGAAGCAGGCCGGGCCGACGAAGTTCGTCGCCGTGGGAGCTCCCGACGGTGCCGGCTCCGAGTCGCCTGTTCTTGGCGCGTCGTCGTCTTCGGACTTCTCTGCGATGGCCGGTAAGATCGATCAACAATCCGAAGCATTCAGTTCTTGGTTGCGTTCTTGATCTTGATGATTCATCTGTACTCACTGAACGGAGTAATCTGTCAGCGCCCGGCGCCACGGTGGCGATCGCGCACGCCTCGCCGCCCGACACCAATCGCCGCCTGCCGTCGCGAAGCAGGAAGCAATACTCCCCGGAGCGCATCGCCTCCGCGGGGGCATCAACTTCGGCGGGCGCACCGGCCGCAGGCGACCCAGCTCCCCCTGCTCGAGGCAGGAAGCAGCCCCGGCCCGAGCACTTCATCCCGGAGGAGGCGGCAGCTATGGCCGGCGCCAAAGCTCGCCGGGGCAACATCGTCCTCGACAGGTTCCTCTCGTCTACTATGGCCCGCGGCTCCTCGGCTTCGGATTGGGTGAGGGACGTCACGGCGGAGGACGCGGGCCAGCCCGAGCGCCCGCGCGGCATCGAGAGCTTCAGGATCAGGGACGCGAGCCGCCACGCCGCCCGCGCCTGCGGCCTACGCGCCGCGATCAGCCGCCTCGGAGCCTCGTGCGGCGGCGCATCGTCGCCATCCCCGGCGGCGCCAGGAGAACCCGAGGGGAGCGGGACCAGGAGGCTCTACGGCATCCTCGCCGTTCTCGGCGCTTCTCTTGCGCTCAGCGTGGCGTCCTGCGTGCTGTTCTACATCGTCGGTCATAGCAGCGAGGCTGCTCCCTCCGGAGAGAACCAGGACAAGGTAATTGCCCTACTTCTCAATTCTCAGTTTCTCATGCATCTTTGACAAGGTAATTTTTGTTGATCTTTCTGTTCTTCACTGACAGTGAGCGGTCTGAGCGATTCAGGATTCAGCAAAGGGGATAGCTGCATAGTGGATCAGAGTACATTTGGTGTTCCTCTTCTCTGAAGCTCACATACCTTGGAATCCCTTATCTGTGATTCTGTATCTAGTTTTTGTCCGAATTGGTGTGGCTTTGAACTGTGGTGCAATACTGATTGTGTGTGAGTGGAATCCAGAGTTAACTCAAGTTTATCATAACCCTTCTATGCTTGCCGTTTCTGAATACGGAGTTAAGTTTCTCCTGTCACATCGCTGTAATGTAGCATACCACTACAGTGTTGTTTGTTTTGAGTTTTGATTTTGCTCACGAGGTGATTTTTAGCACTGAATTCCATCCATGCTATGCTGTCAGTTTCAATACTGAATTTTAGTCTCTTCAGACAGGCACTGCATTGTTAGCGATATGTATTTCTCAGCTCATAGATTTCTGAATGCAGAGTACTATTAATTTTTTAAACTAAAGGCAGTGTATATCGAGGTGACTGTTTGCCACTAAAATTCAGAATCAGCTCCGATTAGTTCTACGGTGGTAGTTTCTGAATACTGAATTTCAGTCTCTTCACGCAAAATTTTCGTGTTGTTTCTGTTCTTCAGTGACAGTTAGCGATCTGAATGGTTCAGGATTCAGCAAAAGGATAGTTACATACTGGTGCTGGCACGGTACATTAGGGGGTCACACAAGGCCTTGAAATCCCTTATCTATACTTTGTCTTTTGTTGGACGTGTCCCTGTTAGAACATAGCATTGTTTTGTCAGTGCCTTTGAACTGTTGTGCCATGGTGATTTGTGAATAACGAAAAAAGTTCAGAATAACTCAAGTTAGCATGTGCGAGTGCCTGCGATACTCTCAGGTTGCGGTTTAGTCTCTTCAGACTCCAGATTGCCTCACTTGCAGTTTTCTAAACTCTGCCTCAGAATGTTACATCCATTTTTCGACTCACTCTTTTTTTTTTAGATTAGCACATTTTGGTGTTATTTCTGTTCTTCAGTGACGGTTGGTGCCCGGATTTTTTCTTATATGCAGTCAATTTTTCCACATATTAAGATCAGAGATAATGTGCCATGGTGACTTGTGTATAACTGAAATTCAGAATGAACTCAATCTACCATGTGAGTGCCTGCGATACACACAGTTTGCCGTTTCTCAAATACTGAATGTTTATTCTCTTGAGACTCCACTTGCAGTTTTCTGAACTCCACTTCAGAATGTTATACCCGATGTCTCGGCTCGCAGTTTTTGGTGTTGCTTCTCTTCTTTGGTTACAGTTGGCTGTCCGAATGATTTAGCAAAGGATAGCTACATAGTATGGCAAAGTACATTTGGTGTCCCGCTGAAGCCTTTTCTTTTTGAATGATTACGGTTCCGAGGTGACTGTTTGCGACAAAAATTCATAATGAATCCAACAAGTTAGCACTAGATTACATCGTTTCTACGCTGGCAGTTTCTGAATACCGAAGTTCAGTCTCTTCTAACAACACATTGCTAGCGATGTTGCGGTCTCTTGGTTGCCTTGAAGCACTGAGATCAACATCTAGGCCTGCATTTTTGTGAATTACTACTGTGTCGTCATTGCACAATATAAGTGGACTTTGTGTTGAACAAAATTTTAACTTTAGCTTTTTCAATCTGGTATCGTGGTTTTTCATCTTTACTTATACAGTTTTGCTATTTCACATCTAGATGTGAAATACTATGTCACATCTAAGTCCCTTACCGTCCGATCTACTGTTGCTTGTTTATTCGTGCGAGCTGTTGATTCCAGTTCCTGGCCACGTCCGCGACGTCGTTGCGTTTTTCCTCAGCCCGTTATGTGTCCTGCACACGTTGTCCTTTTTTTTAGAACTGTGTCAGGTCTTTTGTCGGCCCACTATCCCTGCGTCCGGGCTCTTCTTTTGGCCTGTTTTTCTGTGCGTTCTCCCACTCCTTTAACCATCGCGTCACTGTTTCCAACCTTGTTTCAGTTTTGTGTTGTTTTTTTCATGTATATAAGCTACAGGGAGAACGTGAAGAGCGGTGTTCCAAAAAAAAAAAAAAACGTGAACAGTATGTGCATTCGATGGAGAACTATTCGTCTCATTCTCTTCTTTCTGTTTCCTTTTCCTTTTCCTTGTTCCTTGTTCCTTTTTTTTCTCATTTGTTCGTTCGAAATTTATGATTTTTTTAAATAGGATTTGCTAAATCTCATCTTGATCAGGTTTATCAATGGCTTATCTAAGGTGATGTCCGTTGGATTTTATTGTAGTAATTTTTCGCGCAACCTCTTGATCTTGTGTCGTCGGCCGGTGTATTCCCGTGTCATCTTATTTGTTTGTTCACATATAGGCACATTCATGTTGTGCGTCCATTTTTTTTGTCGGACCTTTTCTTCTTGTACATTTTGTTGCAGGTTCATTCTAGAGGAGAGAGTGTAACTAGATTTTTTTGTATTTTTTTTTGCATAAGGACATCATCTTTTTTAGTTAATTAAACATTTTTTGTTGTTCAATTTTTTCAAAAGTTAATTAAATTTTAAATTTTAAAAATGCATGATTAATTTTTATTTTTGTCATTTATTTGTTTGATAAACATTTTTATTGATGAACAATTTTTGAATGTGCAAGTCCACCACCGACTCATAATCTAGGGTTGACTTTTTTGTTCTAGTTGCAAGTCAACCATTAACTCGCAACTGGCCTCACCTTGTTTTATTCTACCTGCAACACAACCATTGATTCACAATTGCCCCTTTCATCTTTTTTAGCTCCAGTTGCAAGTCAATCATCGACTCGTAATTGGGCTCAACCTTTTTTCGTTCCAGTTGCAAGTCCACCATTGACATACAACTAGTGCTTGATCTTTTTTGCCCCAATTACAAGTCCACTCAAGACTTGCAATTGGACCCAGTAATTTGTTTTACTTGATTGCAAGTCTACGATCGACTTGCAACTGGGTTCGGTCTTTTTTTATCCAGTTGCAAATTCACTATCGACTCACAACTGGCCCGACAATTTTCTTTTCAAGTTCCAAGTCCACCGTTGACATGCAAGTGGGCACTTGATCAACTTTTTTGATAAACATTTTTATTGATGAACTATTTGTGAATACGCACCTTAGTTGCAAGTACACCACCAACTCGCAACTAGGGGTTGACTTGTTTTTTTTCAGTTGTAAGTCAACCATAGACTCGTAACTTGTCCACCCTTGCTTTTACTCCAGTTGCAAGACAATCATCGATTCCCAACTTGTCCCATTGATCTTTTTTTTCTGCAGTTGCAAGTCAATCATCGACTCGCAACTAGGCCCGACCATTTTTTCGAACACAAGTCCATCATTTTTTTGACATTCAAGTGGACACTTGATCATATTTTCTATTGATAAACATTTTTATTGGTAAGTAAATTTTAAATACACGACTCGGTTGCAAGTCTGCCACCAACTCGCAATTAGTGGTTGAATTTTTTGTTCGAGTTGCAAGTCAACCATCGATTTGCAACTGGGTCTTCCCTTGTGTTATTCCAGTAGCAAGACAACCATCAATTCACAACTAGGCCCCTTGATCTTATTTTGCTGCAGTTGCAAGTTAACTATCGACTCGCAACTTCGCCCGACCATTTTTCCGTCCCAGTTGCAAGTCCACCATTGACATGCAATTGGGTCTTTGATCTTTTTTTAACCCAATTGCATGTCCACCCATGACTCACAACTAGACCCAACATTTTTTTGGCCCAATTGCAAGTCCACCATCGACTTGCAACTGTGTTTGACCCTTTTTTATCCAATCGCATATCCAATATCGACTCGCAACTCGGCAGACAATTTTGTTTTTCAGTTGCAGGTTCACCGTTGACATGCAACTGGGCACTTGATCATTTTTTGCCCTAGTTGCGAACCCACCATTTGACTCGCAACTAGGCTCGTTTATTTTTGCCTCAATTGCAAGTCCACCACTGACTCGCAACTAGGGCTAACTTTTTTATGTCTCAGTTGTAGATCAATCATCCACTCACCACTGGGTTTGACCCTTTTTTGCTATAGTTACAAGTCAACCATCAACTCGCAACTGGGCTCAAATATATTTTTTCCATCCGAGTTTCAAGTCCACCATTGACATGCAACTCGGCCATTGATCCTTTTCTTTACCACAGTTGCAGGTCCACACTTGACTCGCAACTTGCATCGATATTTTTTAACCCAATTGCAAGTCGAACATCAACTCGCAACTAGGTTCGACCATTTTTTTTTGTTTCAATGTAGTTTTTAAAATTCTTGACCTTTTTTCAATTCGTGAACATTTCTTTTGTCCATGAATATTTTTAGGAAATCAAAAAAATTTAACAAATTCATGAAAATCATTTTAATTCACGAACATTTTTGTTCAATTTGTGAATACTTTTTAATTTCTCAAACATTGTGAATTTTTTGAATTCATGAACATTTTTTAAATTGATTGATATTTTTTAAGTTGCCAGATTATTTTTTTCAAAATTGTGATTTAGGAAAATCATAAACATTTTTCATGTTTGCAGATGGGGTAAATTGACCTGAAAGACGTCAACCTAGGGACAAGCCGGAGGACACTTTGCAAAAAAGGTAAAGGATACGAGCTGCTTTTTCATTGTATACACAGACTTGTACTCCCTTCGTTCCTAAATACTTGTCTTTCTAGGCATTTCAACAAGTGACTACATACGGAGCAAAATGAGTGAATCTACACTCTAAAATATGTCTACATACATCCGTATGTAGTAGTCATTTGAAATGTCTAGAAAACAAATATTTAGGAACGGAGGGAGTATCAATCAAGTCAAGGCCGGTGTGGGAGGGCTGGGAGCCGGGTCTAGCTCGTGGTAGCTAGCGCTGGCGTTGCCAGGCAGCCCGTGTGTATTTAACCCGACAACAAACAATAAAAAAAAAGGCTAGAGAACAAACAACAAAAAAGGCCAGCAAGAGGATCACAAAACACATGACATCATCATAGATGTGAGAGATGTGACATAGTTGGACCC